TGGTAACAGAGGAAGAGGAAGGCCTCCTCTGCGTTGGAAAGACCAGGTGGAGAAGGACTTGGCTTCACTTGGCATTTTCAATTGGCGTCAGTTAGCACAGAAGAGAAATGACTGGCGTGCTGTTTTGGACTCGGCCAAATCGCTTAGGCGGTTACAGCGTCAAATAAGAAGAAGAAGAATTTGCCAATTCTATAATTAAAGATAGGCAAGATGTAGAAGAAATTGGCGACCAGGTCCAACCGGACTTGCTGTATAATGATAGTTCCATAAGAACTATAAGATTTAATAATTTACGCTTATAAGTGTTTATAATAATTTATGTTTCGTTGACTGTGCATCTCAGAAATGAAATTATTTTTTTAAACCATCAGATTAAGAAAACCCCTGCAGATAATCGTCAGATTTTGGAACAGCATGACCAGGGCATCGAGATGAACCTTCTGTATGAAAATCTGACGCGCTCGAGTAAATCCGAATGGCGATTTCTTTTGTATCTTCAAGAAGACACCACGAGCTTGCGTCGCATCCGGGTCGTCAGATTATTGAATAGGAGCCCACACTAACACCCACTTAACATCCCTTGTGAATATCTCACGTGCTCGAGTAAATTATTTTTTTACCCATTTTTGACCCATGCAAACCAGCAGATTAGCATATCTCCCTCATCAGAAAAACTTTTGATTTATTCACTATCAATAGCTGACGCGCTCGAGTAAATCTACATATCGACTGCTGAGTGGAAGATCGACCTATCTCGGCAGCCATTTCGAAAACGCCCTATCTCAAAAAACTTTTCAAGAACACCCTATTTCAGAATTTTATTGAAAAACACCCTATCTCAGAATTTGGTCGCAGAACGCCCTATCTCAGAATGCCATTCAAAAACGCTCTATCCCACTTCAAAATATATTGATAATAAGTTGATATAGGGCGTTTTTGAATCGCCAGCTGAGATGGAGCGTTTTGAAACAAATTTTGAAATAGGGCGTTCATTAACCAAAATGGGGCGTTCCTGAAAAGCTTTTTGAGATAGAGCGTTTTCGAGCTGGCTGCTGAGATGGGTCGATCTTCTACTCAGCAGTCGATATCTTACTATCTTTTTTGCATTTTTAGAAGCCTGTAGACCCACCGCTGAAAGGAAAAACATCACATGACTTTTTGTTCTTTATATCATCTAATCTTCAAAATCCAATAGGTCAAAAAGTAAATCCCGATTTAGCATCGTGGGCTCCCCTACTTTAACCAAATAATTTTTTATTTTACAGGAGAAGCAAAAAACATTATAAAAAGAGTATCAAAAACAGGTAGGGCTTTTTAAAAAGTGGTATGTAACTTCGTTGTTTTTGGTACTGACACTTCAAAATTTGTATTGAAAGTATATTTTAATACATCCTACTAAAATCCCTGAAAAACGCAATTTCGTAGGTAACGATATGCATGTATATTACTTTTCGTATGAATTCAAGTCTACATATTACATGCGCCCCACGTTTTTCATTTTCACTCTGTAAATTGTTTATAATGACTAGAGCTCGGACTTTTATGCATTTATTTATTGAATATGCAAAACATATGCAAAATGTATGCAAAATATATGCAACCAATATGCAAGAACTATGCAAAATATATT